TTTGTGAAGTAACTTGATGTTTAATATTTAACATATTCAAGGATTTCAGTAAGGGAGCTGAGCACTGTTTGGGGCTGGAGTCTGTTATTGTTCAAATTGAACATAATAAGAATAAAGGTAACTGCAGAAGGCCTATTGGCCCATACGAGGCAGCTCCTATTTATAACCACCCAATCGTGGGATTGGGTATTTATAACCACCCAATCGTGGGATTGGGTATTTATAACCACCCAATCCCACGATTGGGTGGTTATAAATAGGATTGTTGACCACCCAATTGCTGATTTATATTGAGGTGTAATGGGTGGAAGGTAATTTTAAGTTGTAGATCACCAGACACAGATACTGTAAGTAAAATATAAATAATTATAATTCATTGTATTGGGGGACAGGCAGCTAGTTTATGCATACAGTACACGTTAGACTTATATCGAGGTGCAGATGAGGAGTCACAATCACGTGGCAGAAATATGTTGACCACAGCACACACAAGAAAGTGAAGGGACGACAACGTTTCGGTCTGTCCTGGACCGAAATCGAGTTGAGAATGGTCGAGGACGGACCGAAACGTCGTCGGCCCTTCACTTTCTAGTGTGGTTTGGTCAACTTATATCGAGGTCCTCCCTCAGGGTCAAATTACTGACGCTCCGCCAGGATGCAACCCCACAAGCAGACCCAAGACTTTGTAATACATCTGTAATACAATGTATTGTACCTATACAATATGTAATACACCTGTTATACAATGCATGTACCTATAAGCCGGGTACACCGGGAGTTATAGTGGACAGAACTGCTGGAATGAGGAACCGACACTTTAGCGTACACCGGGAGCCGGTGGCTGAGCGGACAGAACACTGGACGCGTGATCCTGTGGTCCCGGGTTCGATCCCGGGCGCCGGCGAGAAACGATGGGCAGAGTTTCTTTCACCCTGATGCCTCTGTTACCTAGCAGTAAATAGGTACGTGGGAGTTAGTCAGCTGTCACAGGCTGCTTCTTGGAGGTGGAGGACCGGGCCGCGGGGACACTAAAAAGCCCCGAAATCATCTCAAGATAACCTGAGCTTGTAAAAATATTTTAATCATTTTCAGTGGTTAAGTGTTTAATATCACACTAGTTTCTATAGAAACTATTTTGCCCTGTCAAAGTAGAAGAGACATAGGTGTACGTATATATATGTGGATATGTGTAGGTATATGTGTATGTGTATTTGTATACAGGCTTATGTGGAAGCTGGTCAGAATTGCATTTCACCTTTGTAAACGCACATTAATGACGCTATGTATCATGACACCACTGTTTATGTAGGACAGACGTAAATCTGTGTATTTATGTTTGTAGGTTAGCTTAGCATTTTAAAAGCACTACAATCACCTACGGTTGATTGTTCAATTAATCACTGAACTATATGTTTAACAGATCTCCCCTGTCCATGGAGGACAGAAAATGTGTATATGCTGGTTAGTACTGTAAATGTGTGGCTACGTCTGTGGTTAAAGAAAAAAAGCAGACTAATTCCTGGGTACCTTTTTACTGCTAGTTGGACAGGGGCATTAGGTGATAGGAAACGCACCCAACAATTTGTCCTGCCCGGTATTTTGGATTGTGAGTCTAGAAGAAACCCCACTGAACTACCGGAACCCTTCCCGGTAGTACAGTATGGATAGTTGAGTGAACAAGTGTTACCAGGACACAGCGAGGGGACTTATTTCAGATTTTAAATATATTGCCTACTACGTAGGTCAATAAGTAGACCTGTGGGGTACTCATTTTTGTTAGAGCTGCACGTATAAAGTGTAAAGCACGTATAAAGCATCATTGGTGCATTTTGAGGGACTGAAGCCATATTCACAAGAGCAAAGTATATTGTTTAGCAAGTAGGGGTAAAACCAGTTCCACATTATCCATTAGGCAGTGTCTAAGGCCTCCGAGGTGGTAGGGCTTACATAAAGTAGAGAACGTTTTTCTAAAAAAAAAAAAATTAAATTGATAGGTAATTTTGTCCCATTTATTTAATACTTAATCCCATTAATATCTATTTGTTAAGTGATTATTTTCTATATTCTATTCAGGCAAATTCTGGTCATATATGAAAGCAAAAAAAGAAAAGAAAAATTATATCGAGCGCACACAATACTTATTTTTTCGGTTCAGAAATATACTTTACAACATAATCAGTGGGAAATGTTAAGAACATACTCAATATGTTTGTTGATTTATTTATTTATATAAAAGAAGGTACATTGGGATGTGAGAGTACATGACATTAGTGTTCTTACATTTTTGCAAAGCCACTAATACGCATAGCGTTTCGGGCAAGTTCTTAATCTAACAGATGGAGCAAGAGTACGGCATTTAAAAGTACATTGTTGAAAAATTTGTAACAAGTAGAATATAAATTGATGGTATGCCATAAATTTATGTAAAAAATGTGCCAAAGCATCTGCTTCGGAAAGATTACAGATTTTAAGTCAAGATATTTTATTAATAGGTACTAGCTTGTGTTGGTAGTGAATATGCTTGTAACGTTTATTTTTTTGTAACTGCAATTTAGCACAGAGGGATTAGGAAATACTATGACAGGATGAGTTAATACATTGCAGCCACCTATAACAGAACTGCTGGAATGAGGAACAGACACTTAAGCCTGCTTAAAATTAAATGATACGATTAGGCTATCTATACCAGAAACATCAAGTAGTTCTTGGCTCCCCCAACCACCACCACTATTATTATGGTAATTCGAAGTTACTGAATTAGTGTCCTTTTCTATAATTACTTTGAGATAGGAGCGGCCGAGCCCATGCCACATGTGCCCTGACCTCTATGAGGAGTGACACCCTGGGGACTACTGATGATAATTACTTAGGGAACCGATGGTTTACTAATGACTGTGGATATGTCTCTTATTTAAATGTCTTATACTTGGAGGTTTGCAGGTAATAAGCCCAGAGCAATTAGGCTTGCGAGACTTATGACATTGGAATGACAACTGAAATTAATGAAAAAAAACGTAATTTGATAGGAAAGCAGGAAAATGTTTTGTGTACATTAGAATATATCAAATACTAAGACCTTCAGGACTATCTTGCTGCAGCAAGGGTGAATTAAGTCACTAGACTGAGGTCTCATACTCAGGCAGTCTTACTCTACCATTACCACAACCTAACCAAGATAGTTTTCATCCCGTTTCATTGACTAGTTGCATGTGTTAAACCTTTGTACAAATTGTACTATGTCTATTCAAACAATTTTCCTACAATACTCTTGAGCTAATTGCCCGATAGTTGAAGGAAAGTTCTTTGTCTCTTTTTCATTAAAAGTTTGCACCACATTCACAACCCTCTTCGATTCCGGTACTCTGCTCGACTCTGATTTATTAAATATAAAATACAAAGCTTACGAAGCTGTTCTTTACAGTCTAAGCACCTTGACAAAAACTGATTGGTCCTGGGTACTCGTTGGACTGTCATTATTTTTCTATTTAATAATTTTCTTTAGTAATCACCGAACTAGTCAACATGTCCTCTTCACCACTACATAGATTTCTTCAGCTTCTAGTGTAACATAAAGATCGTTAGTAAGTATAGACAAAAAATACTTAAAATACTAAGTATAGGGTATAAATCCATGGGACATCCTACCTACTGAAACTGTAAATGCAGAGGCATTACTTCAGTTTAAAATCCAGAGGAAAAAACCTCAGTAACAACGATGGGACCTTTGACAAGCATCAGACTTCTTTTCCCTGCTGGGGCCCCCTAAGGAGTTAGTGGCCCTCTGGTAAATTCGGATTTTTTTTTGTCATGATCAGTTGTCTCATTATGACCCAGTCTTTTCTCAATCTTTTTTTTTTGTGTAGAACTTTTGCCTTTGTTATTTCTCCCATTATAAAATGCATTGGCCAATTTTGGTTCAAATCCAGACATGCACTCAGATTAGTCATTAATAATTTTGTTGCATTTTTATCTTGCTTCATACACATTACAATGGTGTATTTATGAATTGATGCAATTTACGATAATGAGGAATCGCTCGTAATTAATTTACCCATTTTGTAGTTATATAATTAATTGCAATTAGGTACAATGAATTTTATCAAATTTTGGTGTACACGGAACACCTGTAGGATAGAGGACCAGTTTGTACAGGCCCCCTACAGAAAATGTCATTACTATTTGTTTCGACAACTGCACCTCTGGGAACCCCAATGGGTGGTTCAGGGAACCAGTGAACAATAGTGTTTTGGTATGTTGAAGTGGTTTTGCGATAGTGTATCATTTGCCGTAAAACAGTCAATTATACTTTGTTAAAAATACGGTTGGGGCCCACAGCGTGCCAGATCTAAACGGCCAATAGGAGGTAGGGCATGAGTTACCTGGAGAGAGTTTTGAGAGTTCTTCTCCCCAAGCTCGGCCTGAGTTATATCCCACTCCCCTATAGTCACTTGATTTTGATTGTTGCCTCCCCCCTTCCCAGAGGCAGCTAGTTTATTGTGCACCCCATACTCATCCTGTAAGTGGTAAAACAAAAAGGATTACAAAGGGCACAAAAGGTCTTTATCAGACCTCAATGGAGATTAATACATTAACAATTTCATCAATCCTTCACACCTTATAAATAGTGTCAGCTAGTTACAGAGAATGTTCTATTTCAAGAGCTATATATTTACAGTAAATCATTATACATTAATGGTAGGTCTTATCGCTAATACATAATTGTTTAGGCAATGGGATATTACAATCGTTGGGGAGCTGCTGCTTATTAATATTATTTACTATACACTACTTGTTTCTTAATCTCATGTCATTTATCTACTGGAAGCAAAACAGTCCAAGGATTTCAGGTATTTTATCCTTAGTAATAAGATGGTTTGCCATTTCATACAACGTGAGTTTAGATTTCTCTCTAAATGGCTCAATTTTACTACACTCCAAGATATAGTGTTCGAGTGTGTGTCCCAGTCTTTGCACTTTACTTCATCTAGATCCCTATACAATCCGAACTGCCAGAGATACCCGTAGCAAAGTCATATTCGAGCTGTGACTACGTCTGTTTGCTGATTGTACTTACCCCATACATATGTTTTACTTGACACATTTCATTGTGATAATGAACCTGCTAGTTCTAGTCTGCACTGTTCTGCTTTCTTAAATAACTCCAAGAGTTTCCTACTAGTCTGGAATAGCAAATTTTGGGTAGAGCATGAGTATCTGAGCACGAGTTCCAGTATCTGAGTGAATGGAATAATTACAAAGCTCAAAGTAACTCACCATTTAGTTTAAAATCATTGATAACAAGACATTCACTAAATATTGGAGTGTTTCCTAGCTCTTATTCAGAATAAACAATTGGAGTGCTCACTGTTAGAAGAGTCATGCCTTGCCATAAATATTAATATTCCAACCTAATTCTAGCAATTACAGTGTGACACTGATGGAAACAAAGATACAAGTGTGTATGCTGCAACCTTTTTTTTTTTATCGAATATATTAAGAATTTTATAAAAGAAATAGATTAATAAAACTCAAACAATTTCAACAGAAAGCATACTGGGAAACTGCCGCGAGGACGCTAAGCCCCAAAATCATCTCAAGGTTGGTGTCACATTTTCTAGATTTCAGTACCATGGAAAGGTTTTGGTCTCGAATGACTTGATGAAAAGTACAATATTGTGAAAAGTGTCATATTTTAATTTTTAAATGCACTTAATGTTCTTAGATAAAATTTGTCAGGATCAGCTGTTTTATCTTAGCACCAAGTTACATCCTGTTCAGAAATTTTAATAAATCAAAAGGAATTTTTGTTAACTGTTTAGTAATTGTTATGACAGAAATTGGATGTTAAGTTTTCCACAGTAAAAGCTTTATGCGTTTATATTTTAATATCATTGCCATTTCTATTTCACCATAAAATGTCACCATTTTCGGCTGCTATTGGACTAATAGTTTTAGTTTGGTTCATTTATTATGCACCCCATACCCATCTTGTGGGCGGTAGTGGAAAGGGTTACAGAGGCACATAATGGGCTCAGGGACTGAACCCCACAATTCATTTAGCTTTGGACTAATAAACAAGAGTAAATTCACGTTTCATATACTGTGTAATCTATTTTTAGTAAGTATATCTTTGAGTTTAGGTAGACATAATGAGCTGACTCGCACGCATACTAGTGTGTAAAGAAAAAAATTGGAGAGGCAAAAGTCCTATAGTACAGTGGTCTATGTTTTGGACTCAATCGAGGATCCCAAGTTGGGCATCCTTTATTTTATCTGATATCACATAGCACCTGACAGGCAACTGTTGCGAGATTGTATCCTGGTTAGGGTCAGTAGTTCAAGTATGGGCAACTAACTGGTCTACAGTCTAAACATTTATATGTTATAAATGTAAGAGACTGACTAGTTTAAAGAATAACAATATAACAGATTATAATTTGAATAATATATATATACACACACACAATACACAAAAAATAAAAATTCAGTCAATTCTCAGATGTAGTAATACTGCTGGAGGGGCAGTTACATAGCATTGTTCTTCGGAAGTTAATTTTTATATTGCTGAAATTCTGGGGTTGTAATATGGTGAAGGCCCACTGAGGAAGTAGCACTGCCATCCATGCCTGAGCACCTTGCTTGTGAACGCCTTCCTTCACAAGAAAGGGTCTCAGGGAATGGAGGACAGGCTCTCTGGAAGTCTGGCCACAATGCTTGTAATTTCACTCTGCACTGTCGTCCATCATCTGTGGAGGAGGAACAAATGTTAATAAAAGTTTTCATTCCTAAAATGTGTAGGATTTCTGAATAACTTGGAATTAAAGTCTCCTTCCAAAAGTCACTCTACATTGATCCAGTCAGCACAAGTGTTATGAATACTGCCCAGAACTGGACTCAACCATCGTCAATATCTGGTTTATTTTGATATTTGAATTCGTGAGAGTGTATAACATCAATTACCAAATTCTGACATAATCAAATGAATTAAGACTACGTTAATCACTTATTCCACAATAATGCTGTTTTGTAACAAATTAAGGTTATTTACAAAGGTCTGAATTTTCACTTTATTATTTAAATTCCATGTCACTCTGCTAAAAGTCAACAGTATTTATGTCAAGAATAAAAAAAAGTGTAAGGAATGAGGATGGTAGTTCAAATTGTCAAATCAAGTTTGTATTCTATTGTGTATGCTAATTAACACATATAACTGTTTAGGGATTTTCTGGTGCATATATATTAGTGTCCACTAAATTTACTAAATAATCATATCCTAATATTTTCCTCATCAGGATCTACCCTAACTTTCACGAAAGCTTTATACCGATAGCTGATCAGTGTATATTCTAAGGACGAAAACATTGACTTGTCTAGCAAAACCAACTACAGGTCAGTATTTTAAAAACATAAGATTATACTGTGTTATCAATATTTGGGCGTTCAGTATTGTCACGAAGGAATTGCCAGAGAAATCCGCTAGATCTATAATCTCTTTGATGAACAAAATATTTAGATTATCACTTATCATAACAAGCAGTGGAACTTCCAATAAGGTATCCTTCGGGAGCTGGTCACTGGCTTCATCTGGGGATGAACTTCCAATAAGGTATCCTTCGGGAGCTGGTCACTGGCTTCATCTGGGGATGAACTTCCAATAAGGTATCCTTCGGGAGCTGGTCACTGGCTTCATCTGGGGATGAACTTCCAATAAGGTATCCTTCGGGAGCTGGTCACTGGCTTCAACTGGGGATCAACTTCCAATAAGGTATCCTTCGGGATCTCGGCCACTGGCTTCATCTAGATCATCTGTAAATATGACACTATGAGGTGGAAGAATTTTTTTACAATAAAATGATATGTTTATAAATTATAATACTGTACATATATTTGTTTATTCTGCATCCAGTTTTTGACTACAGGGCTTATTCAGGAGTGAAGAACTATGGGCGTGTTGAATTTATAGGAAACCAAATAATTACGGTATAACTAGCAAAGCCACGATAAAAAAAACTTAAGATTGAGAGAATTGCGTGATCATACTTGAATGACGGAGTACATAATTTACAAGTTCTTGAGAGCAGGAACCATGGAAGTACCGATAGAAGAGAAGGAACTTTTCAGCTGGACAGACTCGAGCTTAGATGTATGAGGTCGGGTGAATTGCGAAAAAAGTTATGTTTTATGGCTTCACTAATTCACTTAACATTCGCCAGACTCGGTTTAGAGGGTGAAGCTTTGTTTAACAAATCTCAACTTCCTTTGGACAACTGTTAACGACAAGATGACTTCCATTAGTGAAGCATATGAACGGTATTTGCCTTTTAAGCACCTGTGCTGTACAATTTTATCTGTAGTAATGACGAGTTTAACCTTATCATTAGGTATAATAACTTACTTAAATTTGGTAGAATAGGTTCCTATTTCAGTACTGGGTATAAACCTCTGAATAGCTGCGTATATATTTTTAATGAAAATGGCGCCATTTGAGTGAACATAAATGTACATTTACGAACAAGAACATCGACTATAAAACTATCAACAATGTTATGACTTGATGCTAAAAGATATAATATAGAGTTAAGTGTTATGTATATAATGCTGATTAGTAAATACATAGTTTATTCACGAGCATTAATGATTTTTTTATTCAGTATTAGCGTTAGCCTAGGTACATAATGACGGCTAGGAGTCATTATAATCTGCACCAGTAAGAAAGCAAGAGTTGTAACAATCATACAAATCTTATTATTTTTATGGGAGTAGACGATTAAAGTCCAATTTTTAAAGGTATTATATAGACAATAATAGAAATGAAACTTTTTTGTTTTGTTCCATTCAGATTACTGTCAATACTAAGCACAATAAAATTACAACTGATATATCTGAGAAAATATTAGGGCTGTACGATGGAATCGATCCCGCGTTTCTAAACTCCTCGGGGACACACGCTGCCTTAACCATGTTCTACGTGTGTACTCACCTAGTTGTGCTTGCAGGGGTTGAGGGTCTTTGGTCCCGCCTCTCAATTGTCAATCAACTAGTGTACAGATTCCTGAGCCAACTGGGCTCTATCTTATCTACATTTGAAACTGTGTATGGAGTCAGCCTCCACTACATCTGCCTAATGCATTCCATTTGTTAACTACTCTTGACACTCAAAAAAATTCACTCCAAAAAATTTCTTTCTAACGTCTCTGGCTCATTTGGGTACTCAGTTTCCACCTGTGTCCCCTTGTTCGCGTACCACCCGTGTTAAACAGTTTATTCTTATATACCCCTGTCAATTCCTGAGAATTTTATAGGTAGTGATCATGTCTCCCCTTACTCTTCTGTCTTTCAAAGTGTCGTGAGATGCATTTCACGCAGCCTTTCCTCGTAACTCATGCCTCTTAGTTCTGGGGCTAGTCTAGTGGTATACGTCTGAACTTTTTCGAGCTTCGTCTTGTGCTTGACAAGGTACGGGCTCCGTGCTGGGGCCGCATACTCCGGGATTGGTCTTACATATGTGGTATACAAGGTTCTGAATGATTCCTTGCACAGATTCCTGAAGGCGGTTCTGATGTTAGCCAGCCTCGCATTACGCCGCAGATGTTATCCTTTTTATGTGGGCTTCAGGAGACAGGTTTGGTGTGATATTAACTCCTAGATCTTTCTCTGTCCGTTTCGTGAAGGATTTCATCTCCCATTCGGTATCCTGTGTTTGGCCTCCTGTTTCCACTGTCTAGCTACATTACCTTACATGTACTTAGGTTGATCTTCAGTAGCCATTTGTTGGACCATTCATTCAGTTTTTCTAGGTCATCTTGTAGCTTCATACTATCTTCCTCTGTCTTAATCCTCCTCATAATTTTTGCAGCATCAGCAAACAACGAGAGGAACGATTCTACACCCTCTGGGAGATCATTTACATATATCAGAAACTATAGATCCGAGGACTGACCCCCTGCGGGACTCCAATGACGACGTCTCGTCACTCTTGAGGTCTCACCCCATACAGTGTCTCGCTGTCTTCTGTTGCTTAGGTACTCCCTTATCCAATGGAGTACCTTCCTTTTCACTCCTGCCTGCATCTCCAGCTTATGCACCAACCTTTTGTATGGTACTGTGTCAAAGGCTTTCTGGCAATCCAAAAATATGCAGTCTGCCCACCCCTTCCTTTCTTGCCTGGTCGTAGAATTCAATTAATCAGGACTTGCCATCCCTGAACCCATGCTGATGCTGTGTTACAAAGTTCTTTCGCTCCAGATGGTCCACTAGCTCTTTTTTCGCACAATTTTCTCCTTCAACTTGCATGGTATGCAAGTTAGGGACACTGGCCTGTAGTTCAGTGCCTCCTGTCTATGTGTATAGCTACTGGTGTGTCCCATACCATTGCCTACTACAAACTGATCATGGCTGACAGGAAGATGAAAGACTATAAGACCTATTTGATTTACTCAGATTAGGCAAAACTGTATATTTTGTCAATTAAGATATTAATAATTATACCATTCTGAAGACGAAATTGGCGACAATACTAAGACAGAACACTTGGAAAAGGGTTATTAAGGATAGACAAAGGTTTCAGATTTGTACAGTATATAGCAGAAACGTTACCAAAGCAGAGTTTATACACAACGCTAAATAAAAACAATTACTAGGTATGTAAAGAGTTTTAATGTAAACAGATTTAACGTATGATTAACTGATTAAACTACCAACACATTACAACAATACCATTCATACACTAGGCTGTTGTATACGAACAGTTAAACAAGAGCTGTAACAAAACAAAATACTTTTACAGCAAAGCTCGTTTCATTAGGCGTACTATAATGCTGCAACGAAAACATATGAGCATGGCAGGAGGCACAAGTGGTCTTATTAACACACAAGCTTTCACTTGTCATGCTTTCATTGGGCTACAAACTAATAGACATGTTTACACACTAGACCAATTTTGCAAATGTCCATACATCTTTCTCTAGGACCCGTAATCAGAATAATGGATAACTCCGGCTTAGTCATATCCTTTGTACTTTTTTTTATTAATCACACACATCAGAATTATTGACAGTAGTTTCAAATAAAGTTTTGTAGAGTTCTCTCTCTCATTTTGATAAGATTTTAAATAAATATATACATATTTAATTCGAATGCGAATAACCTGATAAGCAGCGTTGTCCCATAGCAGAGTGTGTGTGTGTGGATCTAAAGGAGGCGGGCACACCAATGTTAGGTGACGGGTGGGTGGATAGCTTAATCAATCTCTTCGAACGCAGATGAGAGCTCGATCGATCCCCGTAAAACAAAGGGGTTCACCATTGACTGCAAGACAGCTGTCTTTGTTTACTTACATAATACAGGCTCGAAAGGCAGCATTATATATTTACAGCTGTCCATTATGTACATGTACTTACATACGTCATTGAATAACTTCAGGGTTGGCATATATATATATATATATATATATATATATATATATATATATATATATATATATATATATATATATATAATTATAATACACACACTACCTACTTTAAGGTGATTCTGGGGATCAACGTCCCCGCAGCCCAGTCTCTGACCAGGCCTCTTGGTTGGTCTGATCAACCAGGCTGTTGGATACGGCTGCTCACAGCCTGGTTGATCAGGTATCATTTGGAGGTGTTTATCGAGTTCTCCCTTGAACACCGTGAGAGCCGGCTAATTATGCCCCTTATGTGTGGAGAGTGTTGAAAAGTCTTGGGCTTTTGATGTTGGTAGTTCTCTCAGCGTACCTATTGCACCTCTGCATTTCAATGGGGCTATTTTGCACATCCAGCCCATGCCTTCTGGTTTCATGTTATTTCCGTATGCACATTCGGAACCAGTTCCTTTTAATATTTTCCACATGTAAATCATTATTTATCTCTTGCCTGCGCTCTTGTGAATACATATTTTGAACTTTTAATCGGTCCTAATAATTTAAATGTGTTATAGAGTGGATCCTATCAGTACAGGATCTTTTGCACGCTCTACAAGTCAGCAATTTCTCCAGCTTTGAATGAGGCTGTTAGTGTTCAGCAATATTCCACCCTAGAGAGCGCTAGTGTTTTGAAAAGTATCATCATTGTTATGGCATCATTTATTTGAAAGGTTCTCGTCATCCAACCTGTCATTTTTCTTGCAGTCGTGACAACTATTTTATTGCGTTTTTTAAAGGTAAAGTCTTCAGACATGATTACTTAGAGATCCTTCACATTGTTTTTCGTTTTATTGTATGATTAGACTGCGGTTTATATATGTTTTCGTTTTTTCCATACAGCAGGAGCTGAAACTTTTCTTCATTAAACATCATATCACCTGTGGCCCACTGAAAGACCTGGTTAACATCAGATTGGAGGTTTGCTGTGTCCTCTATATTGCCTACTCACGAAAAGCTTAGTGTCATCTGCAAATGACGATACAGTACTATAGATTGTGTATCCATGTCTGTCTGATATTAAGATGAGAAAAAGTATCGGAGCAAAGTTTTCTGGGGTACTGAGCCTTTTACGGTGAAGGATGCTGATATTACTTTGATCACTATTTTACTCAGGGTTATGTTAGGAAGTTAAAAGATCCACCTCCCTACTTTGCCAGTAATTTCTATTGAGCGCATTTTGTATGCAATATATATACATTTGTCGAAAGCTTTTGCAAAGTCTGTGTATATTACATCCGCGTTTTCCTTGTCTTCCATGGAGCTTGAGGCCATGTTATAGTGATCTAGCAACTGTGAGAGGCAGGAGCGCCCTCTTCTGAACCTGTGTTGTCAGGGTTTATGTAGATGTGATTCCATGTGATTTATAATCTCGCTTCTTAGCATTCTATCAAAGATTTTGTGATGTGTGAAGTTAGAGCTATTGGTCTATAAATTTTTGCATCTGCTTTACTATCTCCTTTGTGAGGTGGCGTGATCCTCGCTTTTTATGTCGGAAATGACACGAGTATCTAGGCTCAGTTTCCAAATGATGTTTACGGCCTGTGATAAGTGGTGTTTTGCACTTATTGATGAATATAGTGTTGCAAGAGTCTGGGCCTGGTGTAGAGTACAATATGATAGTGATTCAAATGTTGATAGCTTTTATTGTACAGTATTTTAATTTTACACAAAATAGAAATATTGACTGGTTGGTACGAGGCCAGGGTGATCTAGCAACTGTGGTGATGATAGTGATGATTGGTGGGAGGCCAGGGTGGGTGGTGAAGGTAGGTGGGAGGCCAGGGTGGGTGGTGACGGTAGGTGGGAGGCCAGGGTGGGTGGTGACGGTAGGTGGGAGGCCAGGGTGGGTGGTGAAGGTAGGTGGGAGGCCAGGGTGGGTGGTGAAGGTAGGTGGGAGGCCAGGGTGGGTGGTGACGGTAGGTGGGAGGCCAGGGTGGGTGGTGAAGGTAGGTGGGAGGCCAGGGTGGGTGGTGACGGTAGGTGGGAGGCCAGGGTGGGTGGTGAAGGTAGGTGGGAGGCCAGGGTGGGTGGTGAAGGTAGGTGGGAGGCCAGGGTGGGTGGTGACGGTAGGTGGGAGGCCAGGGTGGGTGGTGACGGTAGGTGGGAGGCCAGGGTGGGTGGTGACGGTAGGTGGGAGGCCAGGGTGACGGTGGTGAGGCCGGTAGGTGGGAGGCCAGGGTGGGTGGTGACGGTAGGTGGGAGGCCAGGGTGGGTGGTGACGGTAGGTGGGAGGCCAGGGTGGGTGGTGACGGTAGGTGGGAGGCCAGGGTGGGTGGTGACGGTAGGTGAGACCAGGGTGGGTAGGTGGGAGGCCAGGGTGGGTGGTGACGGTAGGTGGGAGGCCAGGGTGGGTGGTGACGGTAGGTGGGAGGCCAGGGTGGGTGGTGAAGGTAGGTGGGAGGCCAGGGTGGGTGGTGAAGGTAGGTGGGAGGCCAGGGTGGGTGGTGAAGGTAGGTGGGAGGCCAGGGTGGGTGGTGAAGGTAGGTGGGAGGCCAGGGTGGGTGGTGAAGGTAGGTGGGAGGCCAGGGTGGGTGGTGACGGTAGGTGGGAGGCCAGGGTGGGTGGTGAAGGTAGGTGGGAGGCCAGGGTGGGTGGTGACGGTAGGTGGGAGGCCAGGGTGGGTGGTGAAGGTAGGTGGGAGGCCACGGTGGGTGGTGAAGGTAGGTGGGAGGCCACGGTGGGTGGTGAAGGTAGGTGGGAGGCCAGGGTGGGTGGTGAAGGTAGGTGGGAGGCCAGGGTGGGTGGTGACGGTAGGTGGGAGGCCAGGGTGGGTGGTGAAGGTAGGTGGGTGGCCACGGTGGGTGGTGAGGGTGGGTGGGAGGGGTGGGGACCCCAGTGATGAAGGGCGGCGGGTGTCTGGCGGTAGCGGGGGCGGTGGTGACGGCGGCGGCGGACCGCAGTGCACTAGTGGGGGTCCCGGCCAGCGTGGCGGCCGCCCGCCTCACTAAAGGTACAATTCACTCCCCCGAAAAAATGAAATGATGAGTGCTTGCACACACTGGGACAAACTTGCAGGTATTTACCACCATAGACAGCAGTGATCTGGCTGTGACTTGAGGTGAGCGAGTGTGGAGGAGCGGCGGATGGCAGCTGTTCCCCCCTGCCCTCACTAAAGGGTAACTGACTCTGGAGGCAACGAGGGTGGGTCATCAGTCTAGACTTGGCTCTTTTAGATGTCCCGAGGAGAGGAGTGTCCCCGTACTCTCTCTCTCTCCCTCGCTGCTCCACAATTAACCTCCTGTTACACACACAACTCGCCACTTTATCACTACGCCCCACATACTTCGATGCCTTCATTTGTGGAGCGGGAAAAGTAAACAAGACAAAATTTTGTGAGTTTGGCAAAGCTCGGCCATAATTATCGCGCTCCGGCAGCTGGTGGGTGCGGCGTAGCCTGGCCCCGCCCAGTGGGAGGAGCCTCACCTCTCGGGGCGGGGCTCCTCCCACTCCACCTCACATCCCTTTCCCAAAATTACTCAAATTATCTCGCGTGATGCTATCATGGCTAATCATTTTAAAAGCATTATGTACACCCAAAAAATATAAGTTAGCGCATGTGATGATGGGGGTGGTGGCGTGCGAGGCCAAGACGGAGGTGGGCGTGGACGGCCGCAGCGTCCGCCACGCCACACGGCGAGTGGTGCCATCTGATGCCAGGGTCAAGAAGTGGCGCTTTAGTCCCGCGCCAACAGGTGGCACTCCCACCCTCAACCTCGCCCGACCTAACAATCAATAACAAGACAAAGCATGAGCAAGATTAGCTCGTATTTTAGTGTAGTATGTGAAGAATGTGACGCGAGGCGCAGGAGACGAGCCACACGTCAGCACCAACCCACCACAAAGTATCGTACCGCAAAGCGCCATCCACACCCAGCCCCACCTGCCCCCTCCCCCCCCCCTCCCAGCTCTGTACGTTCAGATTTAAATTTGAAAAAGTCCAATAAAACTGTTCACGTTTTCACGACAACCCAGACATGGTGGAGCAGTGAATATTTCTCGTTCTCGGTGTAAGAGGTGGACAGGACAAGCTTGTCCTGGTGGTGGCACCAGAGCAACCGGCCAGCGATGCCTTAGATAGTAACAATGCTGATAACATGTTGTCTTTGCTCACTATTCTGGTAGTACTCCCATGACTCACTATTCTAATTGTGTCCTGACTATTTTGGTAGTTTGTCCTGATGACTATGCTGGTAGTGGTTGTCCTGATGACTATGCTGGTATTTTTTTTTTATTACTATTTTCTACCACAGAAGTGGCCAGACATTTACAATACTAAGCAGCATATACACATTTTCTTCTGTCTTCCATGGACAGGGTGAGAGATTTGTTAAACATATAGTTCAGGGATTTATTGAACACTCAACCACAGAAGGTGATTGAAGTGCTTTTATAATGCTAAGCTAACCTAAATACGTAAATACATAGATACACAGATTTACGTATGCCCTACATAAAGTGTTCGATTTCTCTTTTACACAAGTGTCAATAATGTGCATTTACAAAGGTGAAATGTAATTCTGATCAGCTTCCACATATACTTTATACACATAAATACATATATATACATACATTCACACACACACACACACACACACACATTTGTCTTTTACTCTGACAGGTTGAGATAGCTGATAAACTAGTGTGCAATTAAACACTTAACCACTGAAGGTAATTAAGATGCTTTTACAAGCTCAGGTTATATAGTTACGTTACATACATTAGTGACTGCTGATAGTGGTTGTCCTAGTGACTGTTGGTAGTGGTTGTCCTGATGACTACTGATAGTGGTTGTCCTAGTGACTGTTGGTAGTGGTTGATCTGATGACTACTGATAGTGGTTGTCCTAGTGACTGTTGGTAGTGGTTGTCCTGATGACTGTTGGTAGTGGTTGTCCTAGTGACTGTTGGTAGTGGTTGTCCTGATGACTGCTGATAGTGGTTGTCCTAGTGACTGTTGGTAGTGGTTGTCCTGATGACTACTGATAGTGGTTGTCCTAGAGACTGTTGGTAGTGGTTGATCTGATGACTACTGATAGTGGTTGTCCTAGTGACTGTTGATAGTGGTTGTCCTGATGACTGTTGGTAGTGGTTGTCCTAGTGACTGTTGATAGTGGTTGTCCTGATGACTGTTGGTAGTGGTTGTCCTAGTGACTGTTGGTAGTGGTTGTCCTGATGACTGCTGATAGTGGTTGTCCTAGTGACTGTTGGTAGTGGTTGTCCTAGTGACTGCTGGTAGTGGTTGTCCTGACCACTGGTGATAGCCTACAGAAGGGTTGTTTGAATTGGTGGTAATGAAGGGTTATTGTTTTTCTGTGCACGAAAGCTTGTTTGGGGAGGTAGTTAATAGTTATATTTTCGAGCTGAGGATTTGTTTTACACACAAGTGGGTACAGGAGCAGACGACTTCTGACTCCTGGTACCAGGTCAAGAGCGTTCCCTTCCCATAGCTCAATGGCACGCTTTACCCTACTAGTTTTTCCTGAAGCATGACCCGCTAATCTGTCTATAACCTGATCCCCAATTACTGCTGGGTGAGCAGAGGCGAAGAGTTAAGGACTTGTGCCTAGTCACTCTTCCTGGCCAGGACTCGAACCCAAGCCAATCTCAGTTGTGCTTAGGGGGTTACAACTGAGATTGGTTTTGTTCGTCCTGAGGTTATAACTTTGTTGATATTTCTACCTATTATTTTAGTGTTATTGATGGGGTGGTTTCGTTTATACTGGAGTTATTTTTTTCCATGGACTGCTTTTACTTTTGTGTACTGGTGGACTTGCTGCATTGGTTTTCTGGAAGACCATTTTTGTGGCAGCGAAGGGTTAGTACTGTAATGAGAGACTGGTGGTCTTGAGTTTGTTTCGGTAGTACTAATGGATGGTTGTTCTGGCAGTACAGAGGGGGGTGTAGTTTGGGTGTACTTAAAGGTATATATTTTTTGTTACTGAAGGACCGATGGTTTAGTGGTACTGCTGGAAAATGAGTAGATTACCCGTGGCTTGTTTCGAAAATGTTTTTCCGCCGTTACTGTTACGTCTGAAGCCAGGATTTCGTAGTGGCTGCCTGATCAGTCATTTCGGTTTATGGTCGCCATCAAAACTCTGTTACTCGGATACGTCCAATAGGCTGATGAGGGTAGACCTCTATCCTAACAACTTATCAAATAGACTGTTAATGACTGAGGCCTGCAGTCTGATGAAGGTACCACAGATTACCTGACTGAAGAAAAACTTTTATGAACAGTTTCTAATTATACATTTGCAGGAAACATATCGAAAATCCAGACCTATTATGACTGTGCATTTGGCACATGGTCTTCTAATATCTTAGTTTATTTGCAGTTACTCATAATTTTTTTCCATGTCGGATTACTTACAGCCATGGTTTTCTTGATTAAACTCCCAGCAGAAAAATGTGAGGGATTCTAGGCGTTCCCAATGGTATAGGCCCGTCATACAGGCGTTTACGTTGATGCTGACCGTGATATAATGCATCTCCATATTTATAAAGGTAAAGTACTAGTAATATTAATGCTAGGTGACTAATGACAAGGGCTTCGATATTGGGAGATCAAAAACACTTAAATCTGTAGATTTAGCTCCACCTAACAAAGTATTTATCTTGAACATTATAAAAGTCGTTTGAAAGAGTCACATCTCCACTTTTAAGGCTTATGTCGAGTTGTGCCGAGCTGCACAACTCGGGTGAACATAGATTTTGAGTCGGATTAACCTGTTTTCTTCAATTACTTAACCACTAAGAAAAAATCACGGATGTATTAGCACTTTACAAACGTATTTGATAAATGTGGCTATGAAGTGAGAGCCCATAAAAGATTAACAGGAAAAGTGGGGTTGAATATTTCTGAGAAGTAGGTCATCAAGAGTTGCATTAAAACAAAATTTCCTAGCACAGAGAAACTCTGTACCACATAGCACTATCTGTCACTTCATCCTCATATAGACAAAATATAAATCATAGCTTTGGTTCCATCCTTTGTAGATGGAACCCAATTCAGTATGAAAACTATCTCTGGTGAAGATGCCAAAAACTACAACTAGAAAACACTAAGTCTCCCACCGGGCAACCGACATTTATCACCGTTGACACTCAAGTTATTTTATAGTACTTAGATATGTAAAAAAATAATTTAATGGAATTCAGTATACAAGAAACAATCAGGTATCATCGTAGACGGGAAGAGATATGCAAAATATCTGGGAATAATGATACATGGACGATGTAATGTCTCCTGAACGTAAACAAGCAAACGTAGCATCAGCCAGGAAAATAAGAGGGTGTACTGTGAGAACATCAAATGCACGAATCCCTAATTTTAAAGTCACATGCTTCCCCTTTCATAGCAGATATGAAATGAAAGACACACAGAGAATATATATGTAGCAATCAGACCCAGTAAAACACTGTCTCGGAGCACTCAAAATGTGCTCTCTGTCAAGGAGACGTTAGATTGATCACATAATACTGTATATTTGGAAGTTACTGGAAGGTCTGATCTCAAATACAATAAAATAACTCGAGTGAAAGATATAGTAGGAAATGAACAATAAACGCAGTAATAAGTAGAGGTGACACCGGCATAATCTGTTAAACAATGAGCATCAAAGACCCACCAAATATAAGAAATACTGTCGAAAAAACACTGGACATTTTAAGAGGCAAATGAATATGTTCATGCACGAAGTGTCGAATCAGCAAGTCTGGCTCCAGGCTGGACTTTGGGAGTATAACAATTTCATGACCGACATAAGTTAACTGTAGGAGTTGCCATGGTTTTAGACGAAGTCTAATCACATATCTTATGTACTTTTTCATTTTTTTTCAGGTGATGACTCCATGCCAGTGCTGCACACCACTACGAATTGGTATTGTGTAGGTTGCAAATATAAAAGGCACCTAGGTTCCTGAAAGCCATCTTCATATTTGACAGTTGTCGTATCTGGCAGCAAATCTTATTTTTTGTTAGTGTTCCTCCGGCTACAGGTTCTGTGATTATATATATATATATATATATATATATATATATATATAGCGTTTCGTGCAAGTTAATGAGATTTCTGCTAAGTAAGCCTCACAAATCCCACTCCAAACATCCTCGTCTGCGACTACGGGGGGGAGGGGGCATCAAGGAGACCATATTATCAGGCAACATCACTGTGACGAGGCAACTGAGGAAAGAAGGATAGAAGCACAAACCAGTGAATCTATACGCTGGTACAATGCGGATGCAATACAATTACCACTGTCACTGCTGACGTCCTACCACAGTTTACCACTCGTCCCTGATGGTATCCTACCACAGTTTAGTATTGACAGTGTTGTCACATACACTACTAACAAACTGCAGAAGATGAAGAAAGGAACTTACTTGGCAAACGAGACATCGGATGTGATGGTGCTGCAGGTGTGGCGATGCTGCAGGTGTGGTGGCACTGCAGGTGTGGCGATGCTGCAGGTGTGGTGGTACTGCAGGTGTGGCGATGCTGCAGGTGTGGTGGTGCTGCAGGTGTGGTGGTGCTGCAGGTGTGGCAGGTGGTGCTGCAGGATACCTGATCAACCAGGCTGTGACTCATACGTCAGGCTGCGAGCAGCCGCGTCTAACAGCCTGGTTGATAAGTCCAGCAACCAGGAGGCCTGGTCGACGACCGGGCCGCGGGGACACTAAGCCCCGGAAGCACCTCAAGGTAAGGTGGCGGTGCTGCTGGTGTGGTGGTGCTGCAGGTGTAGCGGTGCTGCTGGTGTAGCGATGCTGCAGGTAAGGTGGTGGTGCAGATGTGGTGGTGCTGCAGGTGTGGCGATGCTGCAGGTGTGGTGGTGCTGTAGGTAAAGCTGTGACGTTTTATCAAGTCCCATACATGGCTACCGGTCAACACTCATCAGTCAAGCCTGAAAAAAGTAAAACAAGGTTAGACTGTGGAGGCTTGGAGGGACCGAGACAACATGAGCCAGTCACTCTTCCATTAATGACAGTACCTGCCCCATATATTGTGTCAAACTTGCCAAAGTAGACTGATAGACCGCCAGAAGCTCACCTTTTGTTCCGGCTTCTGGGACTTTTACTATTCTTCTAAACCAGGCACTTTGTATTACTGAATTAGCCCAGATGGCAAGCTTACAAAATGGAAAACTAAAGAACTTAACATGTCTTAGACGCATATAGGCAATCTTAGGCCTAATGCGTGCTATCCAAGGCCTAATATAGTACATATTTATGTGCTATACCATTTTTTTTTTTTGGCTTCTACGAAGTTAGTAGCACAAAACACGAAGAATCTTGGCTGCAACAGTCCATTTTTGCACGTTTGACTAAATATAGTTCTAGTAGTACTATGC